ACCGGCTGAACAGAAGAAGCTAAGCCCATAGAGGGGCAGATTGCTGCCAGTGCTGTATTTCCTGCAGCCTTTTTTAGCAACCAGGTTTGAGTAACCCGGCTATCCTGGCAGAAGGCTGCACTGTAGAAACTGTTGTTTTCCATGAAGAAAACACAAAGAAAATCTATTTATTGTGTAGGAGAAAGGCTAAGACATCTGATTCTGTCTTCAAAAAGAAGCAATTTTTAACAAGCAGAGCAAAATTTGAAATAAAACTTGTCAATTTGTAAATGTTATGTAGCAAGGCACTGTAAGATGGCAGATGGAGGTGTAAAAGGGGCTTTGTTTTTTTGCTGTGTCTAACACCTTCCTTCTACAGCATTTATCCTCTGTTTTAAGAATAACGCTTTTTCAATAATGACTCACAGCCAGCACCACAAAAATCCTGGCTGTCAGAAAAACTGCTGGTTGTCTGACGGGAGGGCAGCTTGCAGGGAACATTGGTTTATTTTGTTTGTCTGCACTGAAATTACAGCTCGGGGATCTTCCTTCTAGAAAGTGGCCCTACTTAGAGATTCCAGGCACAAGGCAATTATCTGTCTTTGCTGGCTCAATGTAATTAATAGATGTGGTTTTCTTCACAGGCAGCAAGGGATGCTGTGATTGTCATGCAATGGACCACTTTGTCTGGAGCAAGGGCAAGAAAATTCCCCAGGAACTCAGGCCTCCCCTCTGGGAAGACAAATAAACCTGTGGTGGGGCTGGGAATATTCCCCATATCCCGCTACATCTCTGCTCATCTGAAGAGAAAAGATACCCTCTGCTCAGAAGGGAAAAAAGACATCCTCAGGAATAATTCAGCAGGGGAAGCTGGCAGAGCTACAGCCTTCTGTCACCTCACAGAATTTGCAGTTCTGTGTAAAGCTAAACCTTAGGAAAAGAGCAATTTCAGCCTTCCTGGCTAGCCTGCAAGTAACCACACTGCCCGTGCAAAGCAGTTACTGACAGAGCAGCTGCACGGGTAGAAATGCGTTTTTACAGAGTTATTAGAGCAGGGAATTGTGCTGGGATTACTGGGTTCTTCCCCCCAGCTCTGCCTTTGATTTGTGGTATGTGCAGACCCCTTAATTTCTTTCTGTTTTCCCCATCTGTGAAACTGAGATAAGACCACAAGGGAATTGTAGAGTGTGATTCATTAATGTTTATTAGACAGAGGGAAATCCCTAAATGAATGGCACTGTATTCCAGGAGGACAAAGTTCAAGACTGCAAAGAGGCTGATTAAAACCAAGTCTGCTATTCCCAGGCTAGAAGGACAAAAAAAGAAAATTGAAAAACCTTACCCACCTCTGTGTCTGCCCAAAGCAGTATATGATTTAAATAAAACCAAGCAGAATGTGCAAGTGTGCATGCATTCATGCACACATATTTATCTATGAAAACCATTAAATAATTATTAGCAAATGTATGCCAAAAAGTGTTATGAGGGTGCATTTGGAGTTTCCAATAAGAAATAATAAAGCAGTGTATGTGATCACCAGTAACTGAGTTATTAGTGGCAACACGGCACTAGAGCACCGTGAGGCAACAAACGTGACACACATTCACACAGGAATGGTTGTACGTAAGTGAACAGAGCTATAGAGCGCTTATAGTCATCTTAGTGCTGGATTGACCTGGTTTTCATGCATATAGAGAAGCATTTAACTTATTTTAAATAATTGCTGCAGGAGATCCTCAGACAGACATGGAAGATTTGTACATCTTGGTGTTATTCAAAGTAGGAATCTGCATGCTGAAAGAAGACCAATATGGGAATGATTTGTCATAAGCTGATGCACAGTTTGTCTACCTTTGGAGAAGGGATTTGTCTTTACTTTCTTTGTCAGATTGTTGCAAGTATCTCAAAGGAATAAATCCAGAAATGTAGCACCAGGTGTTGGTCCTAGTTGTGGTACTATAATGGAACAGGTAGTACGACACTTTATTTCTGGCTACATTAGTAAGGAAGGGCAGAAAAACAGCGTGTATGCTGTGATTTTACAATGCCAGTTTGTAGACAGACTAAATAAATATTTATAGGTGCAGTTGGCAACACGGGGGACTGGTGTGACATTTTCCAAGGTTCAAAGTACATCGCGAGTGTTCTCGGTTCAGCTCTCACCATGATGCCTGAGCCAGTGGGTAAGTATTTCCTCCCATTGTGTCAGAGGTAGAAATTGAAGCACTTGGTGGTAGCTGGAGTCAGCAGCTGGCCTAAATTCAGTCCTGGGATGATGACGAATTTACTGTGTGATTCTTGTCACTGATATAACACAATGCGGGGGTGAAACGTTAACGTACGGAGAACTTTTAAGGGCAACAAACGTGACGATGTAGAAACAAAACCCAGTGCTTCAGGAGAAACGAGCATTTCACTGCAGGCGTTAGGCACAAGCTGGGAACCCGGCCTGCAGGCAGGTTTCGTGTTCAGCGTGCATCGCTTGCCACCTTCAGGCAGTTCATGGATTCAGACGCCGCCAGAAAGCTGGGGCCTGCGGTCAGGCCGGGGGCGGCAGATCGGCGCGTCCCCAGCGCGGTAAATCCCGGCCTGCTGATTTCAGGGGGGGTTACCCCACGCCGTGTCCCTTCTGAGGGACAGTTCCACCTGTCGAGAGAGCGAGAGAGCACTCCCGGTCCCGCCGCCCGCCATCAGGCCGATTTGACGCCCCGGTGCCGGCGGGGCTGAGGGAGGTGCTGGGCCCCTGCGGCCTGCTGGAAGAAGCGCTGTGAGGTGTCCCTGCGCTGGCAGCGTCCCTCACGAAGAAGCCGGTGCCACTGTGAAAAACTGCGGCAGATTTGCGGGGAAAAAAAAAGAACGTTTTTGGCTACCGAGGGCGGCGTGGGGGGGGGAACCGCTACCAAACCATGGCTGAGGATGCGGGGGCGGGGCTTGCTGAGAGGGGCGGGGCTTGGGAAGCGGGGGCTCGGAGGTGCCCTTAGGCGTGCGTAGACAGCGGATGTCATCAGCGCGCGCGCGCGCGGTCACATGAGGGGGTTGCGCTGTGCCGGCCGGGCCCGGCTCTGGGTTCAGGGCCGCGGCCTCCGCCGGAGCCGCCATGGAGGCTCCTGCCCTCCCTATCCGCCGGTACCGCCGGGCCCTGGTGGACGCCGTAAAAGAGCAGCCCTTCCTCATCGTCACCGGCGAGACAGGCAGCGGCAAAAGCACGCAGCTGCCCAAGTACCTCTGGGAGGCAGGTAACTGCCGGGGAGGAGGGACAACCCCTGGGAGCCCCCTCCGTTCGGATCGTGGTAAAGGAACACAGATAAACGCAGATAATCCTCCGTCCCCTCGAGGGGACGTAGCTTTAGACTATGCTGTGCGTGTGGTGGGCGGGGATGGCTTAGTTTAACGTTTGAAACTAAAAGAACTATGGCCATATGTGCACTATGTAGGTAGCCTTGTAGACTGCCTCTGAGCAGCACGGCTCAGTGTCCCTGTCCTCCCCGTCTCTTCTGCAGGTCTTGCCAAGCACGGGGCCATTGGTGTCACCCAGCCCCGGCGTGTTGCCACCATCTCGGTGGCGCAGCGGGTGGCCGAGGAGGTGGGCTGCTCCCTGGGGAGCGTCGTCGGGTACCAGGTCCGCTTCGATGACTGCACCACTGAGGTAGGGCTCCGTGCTCCCACGGGTCATGTCATGACAGGGCGTGGTGGTGTCAGTGGGCTGTGGCTCAGTTTTTAGCTTGTGGGCCTCTTGGTGGCATGGCACAGCCCTTTTGCCTCTCCTGGGGCTTTGCATGCAGGTCTCTTTAGAAGTCATGCTGCAGTTGTATGTATCATATATCTCTTTTGAATAAGTTCTTTAACAAAAGTGAAACATCGCCAAGCACTGTGTACTGTGCTGCAATGCATAAGCACTCATGACGCAATCTCAGTGCGTGTTCTGGACAAATACACAATCTATGTAGAAGTGCTCACTTTTCTTCAAAGTAAAAATCCAGGATAACAGCTGAATGTCTAATTAAACCTTTCAGGAAACTGCCATCAAGTATATGACAGATGGCTGCTTATTGAGGCATATATTGGCAGACCCCCTTCTCAGCAAGTATAGTGTCATCGTTTTGGATGAAGCCCATGAGCGGAGCCTCAGTACTGTGAGTGTTGCCTTATAGCTGTCCTTTTGGGTCACTGTTTCTCCTTTTCTTACACCTTTCTTTCACTTCTGTACAATCCCTAAGGATTTTGGCTGAGTTTTTGTTTAGGTGCTGTAGTCTTTTGCTGTCTAAGGCTGTAGAATTGCTGCTTCATTTATTACATGCTGCATATTCTGAAAAGAAGGTGCAGCCTGTAATCCTCTTGAAATTGTAGCTGTTGTGTCTGAAAGCACTTAAAACTTGTCTGGCTCTTTTATACTTCTGCAAAGTTTCTGGGAGTTTGAAGCCAGCACAGTGAACACAAACTTTCTAGAATCCTGATTTCAAAAAACACACAAAAACAGATAAAACCTTGGAACACCTCTCTCACTCTAAGGCCTAATGCTTCTTAGGGTGTGTGTATTACTGTGCGTAGAGATTACGGCTTTTGAGGTCATGGAAGTTTCTAGACCGACCTAAGTACCGAAAGGTATCAAATGTCACCATGACCCTTCTGGGGCAAGCAAAGTGAGGCTCAAGTCACTCGGTCCTCAAGAGATTGTGCTGTGTGTCAGACAGCCAACCAGTCCAGCAAATGATCTACCAGTCCATTCAAGGAGATGGGAAAATGCTCTCTGCATCCCAGTTCTGCCCTGAAGCATCTGAGGGTATTGCAAGTAATTGAGCTAGGGTAATGTAAGAAGTTACTGTTCCACCACCTGTGTCTAACTAAAAGGAGCAAATTTTTAATCCAGAGCACTGCAGAAAAAAAAATAAACTTTCTGAAGTCATAACAGTAAATAGTACAACAAAGGAGGGTGTATGCTCAGTCAGGTAACGTACGCTGGACAAAGGAGATGACTTTCTAAAATGGACCTAAGGTAACTGTTTGCAAATGACCATATTAAAAATGAAAACGAAAGGATTTTAAGTTACGCTGATTCTGTTTATAAACTGTGAGAAGAGCTGATAAAAATTTAAATTCTAGAAACCAATTAACGTGCTTACATGATGACCACAGTAAGTGTATGTGTTCTTCTGAGTGATTAGGCCCTGAAAATGTGATTTTCTGCCTTTCGTCAGTGACATAAAATCAGTCCCTTCCAAGTTTGTCAGGCACTTCTAAGAAAACCGGAGTACTGATGCAAATTGCTTCTTTTTGTCTGTTAGGATATTTTATTTGGTTTGCTGAAGAAACTCTTTCTACAGAAGAAACCACCAGACAGGAAGATGGCCATGAAAGTGGTGGTGATGTCGGCCACCCTGGAGGTGGACAAGCTCTCTGAGTTCTTTGGGCACTGTTCAGTGCTGCACATTCCAGGAAGAAGTTATCCTGTCAAGGAGATATTCTGCAACCTGCTCAGCCCAAGGGATGTAGGCAGCTCTGCGTATGTCACTGAGGTCTGGCCTGTTTTACTTTGTTTCTGTGTTGTGTTCTCTGATCTTGGTATGTTTATAATCTGTGAAAGGCCACAGGAGTTAGCTGCTGTGTTGCTGTGTTCTTAGCATCTGTGCAGGATATAGGGAAGAGTTAGTTACTACCATGAGTTTTAGAAAGAGTACGTGAGATTCCAGCTGTTATTGGGGTGTTTGTTGTTTATTTCAGGCTGTAAAAGTGACACTGGATGTCCACTTAAATGAACCAGAAGGTGACATCTTGGTTTTCCTGACAGGTGAGAATTTTTCTTTCAGCAACTGATGATAATTCCAGGTGAAGCATGACATTGCCAGCAAAACAGTGCATCCTTCCAATGACTCTCTGGTTTATCCCAGAGCAGTGAGTGAAGAAGTTCCAGGTTGACACACATAGTCCTGTGAAGGGATAGTTTTCAGAGCATGCTTATGTACATCCATGCCTATGAGATCAGATAAGAAAAACATTAACTTAAAAATTTGCATATGTGCTTTTCTTCCTGTGCTAAGCTGACTCTGTATTGTCTCCGTGTTTTATGTTATTGTTAATTTGGGAAGGTAGAATTGTTTTAGTTGCAAAACCCTACATCGGTGTAAGGGCCTGACACTTGTGCAGCCATCTGTTAAGGAAAAGCCTTGGTGAAAGGCACTGTGGAAAGGCTGGGTGTCACTTCCTAAACTAACTCTCAAATATTACTTCCGTCTTGTAATGATGCTGATGACTCTGTAATACTGGCAAAACAAACTTGTTTAAAAATGTTGCAATCTAGGAAGGCAGAGTTGTAGCTGTGTAGGTCACTTAAATGTTCCTGTATGTTTTTTAGGTCAAATTGAGATAGAAAGAGCTTGTGACTTACTTTTCAAGAAAGCAGAATCTATTGATTACCGTTATGAAGTACACGATCGGTCTGTTGAAGGCCTGCTTATTTTACCATTGTATGGGTCAATGTCGACAGGTAAGAGTATGTAATGTCATATGGAACTTAATTCACATAAATGTTAACTGCAAGAGTTCTTATAAATATTATCCTACTCAAATATTTCTATTGTGATTGGAAAAAATTATATTAACCCATTTGTTACAATACTGTAGCACTGTGGGTAGTGTTCATAAACTAATCAAACTTAAGCCTTCTCTGTCCTTGCACTGAAGCCTCCAGTGGAAATTGATATCCACTGGAGATGGCTTCACATGGCGTCAAGGTCTCCAGCTTAGGAAGGGGATATTGTGTAATTGAAAGTTCAGATGACTTATTTAGGCTCTCACATTTTATTTTATATGGAAAAGATCTTGTTGGTAGGTTTTTGGTGATGAGGTAGACCTGTAAGGGAAGATAGAAGCACTACAGTGTTACACAGTGTAGAACAGTACAGGTTATCAGGATGAGTCAGTCTGTTTTATTTGGCAGCAATACCACAGTTAGTTTCAAGGAGCTAAAAACAAAGGCCCTTTGACCTTTACCAAACACATGTTATGTAGATGCCAGGAGGCTGAATAAGAGTTCAGAAGAGCAGGACATAATTTTCCATCTGGAAGTGCTGTTGAGAAGAAAGATCTGGTAATGATCTGCAGAGAGGGAGCAACACTTCTACCCTCTTGAAAGAGCAAAATGAAAAGTTGTGTAAAAGAAAGGTGTAGCTCCTTTCTTACTCTATGATAGGTGTTAGATTCCTGACTAGAAGTGATACTTTATTGATTTTTTGTTTGTTTGTTTTTGGTCTTTTGTGGTAGTGTCTCAGAGGCCATTGTATTGAAATACTTCTAAATACACAAAAGAGGATTTTCCTTAAAGAGATTTTTATATTTTTCAAGTAGAATAAGTGAGAGAATTTCAGGAGAAAGTTGAATTTTTACCTCCTTTCTTTGTTCCTTGGACAGCCAAATGAATTAGTGGAAACTGCATATGCTGCTTCATGTGTTAAAAGAAGATTTGCTGGAAACAAAGGGCTTTAGCTGAATCTTTTCATGTTCACCTTTGCTTGCTCTGATTGTTAAAACCCTTCACAAAAGTGTAGTTAAGACCAGGCATCTGTTTGGTTTGTCCTCGCTCTGGGTTAGGAAACATCCAGGGGAGTTGGCCTTTCTCAATCTCAAAATCTTCTTGAATATGCAAGCAGTAACAAAAATATTCTCTGATTTCTTGATATGCTAAAATAATACAACATCTATATTTTAGGATGTTATGTGATTAATTTTCTAAATTCATTCAAATTATTTCACTAAGCATTTGAATAAGTTTGCACAGTGTTGGAGGTGTGGCTGGAATTCAGCATTGTAACGTAACAGATTGTTTGACTATCTGTCATTTTAGATCAACAGAAAAGAATATTTTTGCCAGCTCCCACGGGCATTAGAAAATGTGTGGTATCCACAAACATTGCTGCAACATCTCTGACGATTGAAGGAGTCAGGTATCATTTCCTATCCTTCATAAAAA